TATATATTCTAAAAAATTCTATCTAAAATATTTTATTCAAGATTAGATGCACAATTCAAGCATATTTCAATAGAATGATCTTTGCAGATTGGTTCTTTGCATTTTTTTAACTGCATTTGAGTTCGACGATCTTTTTTACATAGGTAGCATCTTTTGCGTTTTTTTGGACCAAGGACTGCCGCTTGTGGATTCCTAGATAACACATATTATCGATATTTCGTATAAACATCAAATAAATATTTGCCTACCTCAAGTGATGAAGTTCCAGCATGCTTCTGAATTAATACTTGCAGATCTCTTGACAAATTTTTGGCTTGATTTCTCATATTCAAGGCATCTCTCATTAGTTGTAGAGCGAGCTGCTTTATAAAATCTTTTCGAGCCATTCCACCGTCTTGCTTGACAGCCTTATAAATTACTGTTGAATTTATTGCAACCACATCCAAAAAGTTGAAAAATAAACACAGGGGCCATCTTTTGGTTCTTCTTCCAACTGAATACATGTCTGATCAACTACATCTACACCACCTTTGGTCATATTATAAAATGTGATTATCTCGGGCTTTTATTGTTCAGCAGTTTCTTGATCAATTGTTGTGGTCGAAAGCATTGTGGAGAGTAATATAACAGATTTTCCAATTTTAGGGACATAGGATACCAAATTTTTGTTTTTTGAAAAACCAAAAGTGGAACCGAACTTCTATTATATTTTACAAAATTACAATCACAAAACACAATTTAGAATGCATATAATTGAAGAAAGAGTAATAAAAAAACGAATGCTCAACTTATTTGTTGCGTTTGAACGTCTATAAAACCAAAAGTGAAACGGCCAATAATAGGGGCTCTAAAATTCCCAGTGACGTAATTACTGGCGCTCGGCTTTAAAGGCCGTTTGATTTAATAACTCGGGATATACAAAATAGATTTCTCTTAAAATGAAAAGTACTTCAAATAAATGCATTTTATTAAGCTACCTAAAATTTTGATGAAAAATATTGCATTTTGAAACTTTCGCAAACATTTTTAATTTTCACACGGCCTTTCAAGCCGAATGCCAGTAATTACGGGTTAAAAAGGCATCTCCTTATCGTGCAACTGAAAGTTGCTGATGGCTTGCGCCATCTATCGGAATAAATATCAACTATTCCCATTGACTTCTAATTATTCCAGAAGATTCCATTAAGCCATCAGTAACCTTCAGTTGCACGATAAGGAGAAGCCTTTTTCTTAATTTATGCACCTTATCCCAGTACAATATCACATTTGTACTATTTTTTCACAGGTTTAGATGTTATGGAATCTTAGAAAAAATCCAAATATTATTGGAAAATCCACATAATGGCGGTACATATTAATGAGGTATTACCATAAAAAATCAAGAGTATTTTGGATTCCTTGAATGAAGAACAATGTTAGGCCTGATTGAGATTTGTGGGCCATTCCCATTAATGTAGGTCATTGCATGAAGAAATTGAAAACAAGAAATGATGATACAAGAAAATAAGACCTAATTCAAAATAGTGTGTGACGTTTCGGTAACAGCATTAAGGCACAATTTGGATTATAGATTATAAACACAAGGTGATAAGACCAAATCCAAACAAATAAACAGTGTGTAACGCTTTGATAACAGCGTTGTTACCATCTTCAGACAAAAGTACTGAATGAGAAATTTTACCACAGTATGGTTTAAATAGTTACTAAGTAACTATTTAAAGGTAACAGTGTTGTTACCATCATCAAACAAAAGAATAAAATAACATCTTTTGTCTGATTAAGGTAACAATGCTGTTACTGAAACATTACACACCATTAATTTATTTGGATTAGGTCTTCCTGTAGCTATAATCTATAATCCAAATTGTGCTTTATCATTAGATGATGATGATTGAAATATGAAATGTTAGAAATGGGAAGAGCTTATTGGAAGAGAAGATATGAAGAAGAAAAAATAGCATAACAAAATATGTATAATGGAAGAAGATAAAAACATTCTTTAAATAGAAGTAGGGAAAAAAAAAGTGAAATACAGTAGAACCTCCATGATAGAACACTCACACTAAAGGACATCTCTCTATAAAGGACAGTTTTCATTTGCAAAATTACCATTTTAAGTAGCTTTCCGGTAAGAGGACACCTGTCTCTAAAGGACACTTTGGCTCTGCAATTAGGTGTTGTCCTTTACAGGGAGGTTCTACTGTATATGGATAATAAGTTCAAAGCCACAAATGAGATAAATGAATAGTAGGAAAGCATAGGGTCAATCATGGAAGATTGATGCTGTAAGAGAGATATCTGTTTATCATCTTTCCTTTCCATGATTTTTTTAACATTCAGCATAAAAAAAGGCTTCAATTTTTTTTAGAATGTCACTCAAAGTTTCTATTTGATCTTGCTGCACATAATCAAATATTGGTCACAAAGTTACAGGGCTGGAAATATAAAGTTTCAATTAGGTCAGTATAATCTTCACACACACAACCATCAACTTGATTTATAAAAGTTTCGCTGTTTTTTTTTTCACAATGAATATATTGTTGTTGTGTGGGAAGCACACAGGTTTGATAAGGATTCTTGATCTATTAACTTGGTTTATTCTTACTGAGCCACAATGTAAACAGCTGTTGTTCTTTTTAAAATACTAGAATATTGGCTACAAACAGGTGTTTAGAACAGCAGCCAGGGCTTATTAAAGTTTTACCTTAAAAAAGCTAAAAATTGTGAAAGACTATATTCTGTTGTTGTTGTTTCTTATCCCCTTGTGTAAAGATTACACGAATTCCATGAGTTCATGCTCCTCAAGCTGTTTTATGATGAGCAGCGGCCTCTCCCAAAGGTCCTGTTTAGTGCATCTAATGCAAGCCAAAATGTGTTCTGGAGCTGCAGGTGACAAGCTACATTTTGGGCAAGTGGGGTAGATTTTGTTATTATTTTCTATCTTCAATGGCTTGAGATGGCCTGTTCTAAATCTTGTTAGTGTTGTTTGATGCTGTCTATTTCTGATGTTCAGAGCTCCTCCTGGGTTCAGTCCACTGTACCAACTGTGCTTAGGTGGGATCCTCCAGTTCTTGTTTATTTTTGTTTTGGCTACTGTTTCTATTTCTTTAAAAGTAAGTTTATTTTTCTGTGGCAAGGGTTCTTTTGTGCCTTTTTTTCGCTAGCACATCAGCAGCTTCATTGCCTTCAATTCCAACATGTGAGGGTATCCATTGAAGGTGAATTTTTGAGGTTTTTGAGAGTTTTTGGAGATAACCAATTATGTTCCTGCTTACTTTGTCTCTGAGTTCCCCTGTGTGACTCAAGTGTTGTATGGCACTTCTACTATCAGTAAGAATCCAGATATCTTGATAACTAGTATTTCTGATGGATTTTAAGGCTTCATAGATGGCTATAAGTTCTGATCTGAAGACTGAGCAAAAATCTGGGTTTCTTCTGTTCATTTTCTCAATGCCATTTGTAGTTTTGATGAGACAGCCACTGCCAGTGTGTCCCAACTCATCTCTGCTACCATCGGTATAGATAGTTATTGCATTTTTAGGAATGTTATTAACTATTTCTAATGATAATTGTTTTAAGTATTCTGGATTTTGGTATTGTTTATTGGTGGGTTCATTTAAAGTGTCATTAAAAATAACATTTTGTAGTGGTTCACATGGAGAAGTTTTTTCTGCTAAATAATTTTTTTCTACTTTATATTTTAAAAATCCATTTCTTTTGGCCAGGTGGAGAGGACCTTCTTTTTTGAGTCTTAGATTGAATTCCCAATTAAGTATGTAATTGGAAGTTCTGTGTTTGTTTCCATAACTCTTGATTTTGTTTATATATTTTGGCAGATTGTAGCTTCTTCTATCCTTTAAGGGCATAATGTCTGCCTCGTAAAGTACAATATCATTAGGGCAGGTATTTCGAAGACCTGTAATAATTCTAGCTGCACTTAGTTGTATCCTTTCCAGTGATTTTAGATTTGTTTCAGATGCTGTACCATAGATTTGATATCCATATTCCAGGATAGGTCTAATTAGAGATGTGTAAGTTAATTTTAGTGTGGTTGCATCGGCTCCCCACTCTCTTCCTGAAATATATTTCAGGATTGTTAGTCGGTCTCTTCCTTTTCTAATAACTTCTTCAATATGTTTACTGGAGTTAATTTCTGGATCCAGGGTGTAGCCAAGATATTTAGGATGTTTATTATATTGTAATTGTTGTTCTTTCAGAATAATTTTTGGCCTTATTTTGTATAATTTCTTATCGGTAGTAAAAAGACAGGTTTCAGATTTTTGGGGGTTAAATTCTAATTTATGTTTATTAGACTATATTCTAGTACCTTCCTGTAAATGACAACACTTAATTGCAGAGCTAAAGTGTCCTTTATCGGTGTCCTCTTACCGGAGAGTTGCTAAATAGTAAAAATGGTAATTTTGCAAATGAAAACTGTCCTTTGTAGAGAGGTGTCCTCTAACGTGAGTGTCCTCTCATGGAGTTTGTTCTACTGTACTAGAATATTGGCTACAAACAGGTGTTTAGAACAGCAGCCAGGGCTTATTAAAGTTTTACCTTAACAAAGCTAAAAAATGTGAAAGACTATATAATATATTCTAATATTAGAAACTAATGTGAGAGAAAATTTGTGTAGTTTTTAAATGTTTTTTTTTACACACACACAATTTTATGTTAAAGAAGGTCAGTAGAGTGGTGTTGGTGACAACAGACCCTGACAGCCCTGAAGGACAGACAAGGCCTACTCAGCTATCTCTCCAAACTCCCCATGCCATCGAAGGATGCCTACTATGCCCAGGACTGCCTCAAGAACCCAGTGAGTATACCTTCCATTACACCCACCCACCTGGCATTTATGTTTGTTACTTGCGGATATTACTTGGGGGAAAGCCATACTACATTGAAAACACTGGTTCTTGTCCCATTACCGAAGTTAAGCAATGTCGGTCAGTACTTGGGAGGGTGACCATCTGGGAACACTGGGTGCTATTACCTTTGTATCCTCAGTAGAATAGTGGTTAGTATTCCCGCCTGTCACGTGGACGACTGGGGTTCGATTCCCTGCCGGGGAGCTTTTTTTTTTCTTCTTCTTTTTTTTTTTTAAGGTGAACAGCTTTTAAAAATCCTCTTCTTCTTCTTCTTTCTTATCTCCACTCAATCACACTAAGGTATCAAGCTTGTAAAGCTTGAGATTTTTGATGGTGTCTGCCGGGGAAGAGTAGAGCTCATCAATGGATGAGTCAATACAGTCAATAATATGTCTTGGGGTTGCAGGCTGAGAATTGCACTTAGTACATAGTGGGAAAACCTTGCAACCATTCTGGAAAGTCATTGTCCGTAGATGACCAGACTTAAGTCGGGAAATCAAAGACTGTTGTTCTCTTGGGAGGACAGAACCGGTGCTTGTCCCTCCTGCTCTGTACCAGTCATGTGCAGCATCAGATTTCCATTCCTGCAGGCATTGGGTTTTGATGGTTCCGAGGAGGTCTCTTTCGTCTAGTTGGGTGGTGGATTCTCTTGCTTCAGGTAGGCCAAGAGCTCCAGCTTTTGCCAGAGAGTCTGCCAGCTCATTACCAAGAATTCCAACGTGAGCTGGAAGCCATTGCACTGTGACTGAGCTGTTGGCTGGGAGTCGGTTTACAGACTTAGCAATGCTCTTGAGGAGAGGTTCTTGACTGGAGAAGCAGCTTTGAAGGGTATAAATGGCTGCTCTTGAGTCGGAGTAGATTATTATTTTGCTTGATGAGTTGATGTTGATGTCTTTTAGAGCGTTATCTATAGCAGAGAGTTCTGATTTATAAACTGAAAGATGTCTAGGGTGGGAGAGGGAGATTTTTTCCAGGATCTTATCTTTGTAGATAGCAATTCCACTGCCAGACAGTCCAGTTTCAAGTTGGCTACCGTCAGTGTAAATTGTGATGTCGAAGAGGGAGCTATTTTCCTCAATGATTTGGAGGCCAAGAGCTTTAAGTAATTCTGGCTGAGTTTCATGTTTGTGGGGATTGTCTGGTAGATGAGGGAAACAGATGAGTTTGTTGCGAGTTTTGTGTGGGGGATAGGAAGTTCTGTGTTTGGGATTAATTGGGATGTCTAAAATATTAGAGTTGTGAGCCATGTTGAGAGGTGTGGGGTGTTTTAATCTTTGGTTTGGGACCCAATTTCTAATAAATTTTCCTGTAAGATGTTCTTTTGGAGAGTTAATCTTTTTTGTTATAAATTTTGAAAAGCAGATTTTTCTCCTTAGGTGCAGGGGAAGAAGGTTGGATTCGAATTCAGCAATGCGATTTGGGCAGGATCCTCGAAGTCCGCTGATAATTTTAGCTGCGCTTGCTTGGATTCTGTCTATTTTGGATAGGTTAGTTTTACTTGCATTAATCCAGGCTGGTGTAGCATATTCCAAAATAGGTCTTACAAGTGCAAGGTACGTTGTGCGTAAGATATTGGCATTTGCACCCCAGTTTAAGCCTGATATTTTTTTCAGGATTTTGAGCCTATTTTTGGCTTTGCTTATCATGGTGTCAATATGTTTTTTAAAAGTGAGCGCAGGGTCGAGTGTGACACCAAGATATCTTGGGGAATCTGAATATTGAAGTTTTGAATTATTTAAGAAAATATTTGGGGTCCAGTGGCGAAGGTGGTTGTTGATGGTGAAGAGGCCGATTTCAGATTTGTTGATGTTGATGGATAATTTTAGTTTCTGAGTTACCTTTTGTAGATTTTTCATGGCTTTATTCAGAGATTGTTCTGCATCGGAGAGGTTGTTTTTGGAGACCCAGATGATTATGTCATCTGCGTAAAGGGCAATTTTAGCTGGCGGTTTGATAAAAGTGTGTACATCATTTAGGTAAATATTGAAGAGAATAGGGCTTAGGATTGATCCTTGGGGTAGACCTTGGTAAATACGAGTCGTTTTTGATTTGATGTTGTTGAAGTTAACCTGTATGGTACGTTTGGATAGAAAATTGCTGATCCAACTCAGCATACTTCCCTCTATTCCAAGTTCATCGAGTTTGAGAATTAGTTTTTCCTTCCAGACTCTGTCGAAGGCTTGGGAAAGGTCGATGAAGGCTGCTATAGTGGATTCTGTAGGTTTATGATGGAAGCTGTCCTGGATTTGTTGAACAAAGTAAAAGATTGAATCTTCTGTGCTTTGATATTTTTTAAAAGCTCTTTGATGAGGGTCTAGTAGGTTGTTGAGGTTAAGATAAAAAGTTAACCTATTGAGAATCATGTGTTCCATGATTTTGCAGGGAATAGAGGTCAGAGAGATAGGTCTGTAGTTGGTTGGGTGGTTCTCAAGCTTGCCTGGTTTGTGGATGGGGATAATTGTGGCATGTTTCCAGTCTTTAGGGAGGGTAGACGAGCTCCAACTGTAATTGAAAATGCTTAAGAGTTCTAGTTTGGCATGGGAACTGAGGTTTTTCAGCATGGGTCCAGTGATGTTGTCTGGACCAGGAACTTTTGTAGGGTCAAGATGACTTAAAGCTTCGTCCAGTTCATGCTCTTGAAAAGGTTTACTGAAAATGTTGAGGCTGGGTTTGGATTTTGCAAGGTTTCTGGTGAGCCTAGATTTTCTACCTATTATTTTATCCTGTAAATTAAAATTAAGCTTTGCGGTGGAGCTGTAATGGTGGGCAAAATGGTTTGCTATGCTGTATTTGTCTGTGAGGGGATTTCCAGAATTGTCCTTGAAGGTATTTGAGCTGCTGTGAGATGGAGTGTCCTGATTGAGGGCATGTAGTAATCTCCATAGTTTCGTGTCGCTGGTTTTTGGGTCAATTGAAGAGCAGAGTTCAATCCACTTATTCTGTTTGATTTGGTCGGCCTTAAGCTTAATTTTTGCAGCAAGGTGATTGTAATCTCTGATTAGGAGGGTGTTGTTGTTCTCAATCCTGAGTTCAACTGACCAGGTACTCCAGGAATACGGAGGAGTTACGTCTGTACTCATGTTAGAGTCGGCAGCAAAGGCTTCCATGTTAGGAACGACCTCAAATTACAGGCAAAGTCAGACTTTCACCAAAGTGCGCCTGGATCATGGTTCCATGATCAACTAAAGCTGCACCCCTATACCCCATTCCATGAGATCATGAACACATGGAATTCGTGTAATCTTTACACAAGGGGATAAGAAACAACAACAACAACAGACCACATGTACTAGGGATAATAATAACAACATTAATTAAAGAGACAGAAATCTGTTAAAAGTGAGGAACCTACAATGTTTGTTCTTCAGTGAGTTCCACATGACAAGACCTAGCAGTGCACACCAATGTGTAGAAATGTGGTACACTTACATTAAAAGCAGTCGTCAACTTCTACCCACCATGATTATCATGGTCTGTACCATGTGTATGTACTAGGGATAACAATAACATTAATTAGAAAGACAGAAGGACTGTTAAAAGTGTGGAACTTACAATGTGATATCTTCAGTGAGGTCAACATGACAAGATTCTAGCAGTGCACATCAATACATGTGTGGTGTACTTATTGTAAAAGCATTCGTCAACTTCTACCCACCATGATTATCATGGCCTGTACCACATTCTTGCAAAAGTCCAACCCCACCAGTGAGTGCAAGTAACCAAATGGGGCTCTGGCATATTTGTAAGTGCAAAGTCGAACTGCTTTTCACATATGTAGACATGTGGTGCGCTTACAGTAAAAAGCAGTCGCTAACTATCCACCATGATTATCATGGCCTGTACCACGTGTACTAGGGATAAGCAAAAAAAACAAACAAACAAACACATTGCCAGTAAATTTTAATTGTTACAAATTTTAAAGAAGTTATTCCTGTATATGTAAAAAAATGTTAATAAACCCCTTGTGACCAATCTTCTTGCTAACACAGGGATGGTGTGAGCAGGCAAACAAATGGAAGAATTAGCCTGACAATACTGCCGACGAGGACAACCACATCGAAAGTTTTCTGATTTTTTTCCCCCTCATTGTTACATTCCTGTTGACAAATTGTTACATTGTTGTTGTTATTATTGTTATTTTATTCCACATTTCTCTCTCTATTTTTCCCACCACCACTTCCCTAATTCTCAATGTATTTCTCCCACTCACCATTATTGTGTGTGTAAATTTTATTTATAAAAAAAATTATTTTAATTAATATTTATTTTTTTCTATTCTCTTGTAAATTATTCTATTATAGTTTTTGTTTTGTTTCATATTATATATCTCAAGGGAAAAAAGATTTTATTTTTTTATAAGAAATATAATAAATAAATTGTAATTTTTTTTTTCAGTGAAGTTTTTTTTGTGTGTGTGCCTTCTTTGATTTTGTTTGGGTTTAAAGCTTTAGTTTTGATAAGGCACAATTTGGATTATAGATTATAAACACAAGGTAATAAGACCAGATTCAAATAAATAAATAGTGTGTGATGTTTCGGTAACAACGCTGTTACCGAAAGGTTACACACTATTTATTTATTTGGATTTGGTCTTATTACTTTGAGCTTTAGTTTTATTTAAGTTTTCTAGGGAAATATAAGGTAATAAGACCAAATCTTAATAAAGAGTGTGTGACATTTTGGTAACAGCTTAAAGAAATGCTGTTATTCAGTACTTTTGTCTGATGATGGTAACAAGGCTGTTGCCGAAATGTCACACTATTTATTTATTTCTTCTTCTTCTTCTTTCTTATCTGCACTCAATCATATTAGGGTATCAAGCTTGTAGAGCTTGAGACTTGACAACCATCATGACTGGGTGAAGTTGAATGTGTCATCAAGACTGGGAGCACTACTCAGTGGCAGGCCGACTTAGCTCCAAAATAAATGGCCGCCTCTGACATGAGGAACAGACGCCATGTGCAGCCGCTCCTAACACGGAGTACAAACGCTGCTCATCCTGTATCCTTGGATTAGGAGCCCTTACAGGGTACTATCAGCCGGGCCAGCTGAACCCAGGTTTTTTAGCGAGCTTGTTACTGCTCCCCCTCCTCCTTTTTCATCCGGGCTTGGGACCGGCAAAAGCGTAGTTATTTATTTATTTGAATTTGGTCTTATATTACCTTGTGAACAAAATAGTAAAACGACACTTGAAGTTACACCGC